GTACACCATATTGCAGTGGAGGTCAATGCACCAATTAAAGAAGTCCTCGAGCCCAGACACCCCAAGCCAGGCTTCCTTCACATCAAGAATTAAAAAATCTGTAAAAAAAGACAATAATTTTAAGGGTTTTGCTTAACCCCAGCAGGCAGCTACCCCACACAGGTGTCCCTCACCCTCCTGGCAGGATACAGCAGAGAATCTGAAACATGAGAACACTCCTGGGTTGTGATCCAGTTTAACACCCACAGCAAACCAGCACACACAGGCAAAGCAAAGGAAGGGATCTCTGCCCTGCTTCCCACGGGTTGGCAGATATCCAGCCATTCCCAGAAAAGCAGAGCTTGACTTGGGAAGACAAAGGCTTGTAACACTGAACATCTTCCTCCCTCATTTCCAGCCCAGCTCCTTCTGTCCAGTCCCCCTTAGCCTGTGGGTGGGAGGGTTGTGCCACCGCAGGGGGAAGATCCTGCCTTTGCCTCTGCTCCATTTCCTGAAGTTCCCATTGGCACATTCCCCAGCCTTTGGGGTCCCCTGACTGGTGCAGAGGGCACACGCTGACTGTTGTCCCAGTCATTACCAACAGTGTTAAAGACAGAAACATCTACTTCACAAACAATAATCATCCCCTCATTCTCTGGCTGTGGACACTACTGACTGGCTTTTTAGAACAGAAATGATTTGCTGCCTTGTAAAGTCCTCTGCAAAGATGTGATCCCAAATCAATACATAACTCTGAGGTTAGGGAATGATCATGTGTATCAAGTGGCTGCAGGGGAATTTTCTGTCATTATTTTGCCATATTTCTACCTGAGCAGAAAATTCAGAATTTCCTTCAAGCAAATGCTTTGATGAAGAGCTGAGTTACTCAATGCTAATTCCCTCCATCCCTTCTGTTCTCTCCATAGTTTCATGTGGTCCTTTGAGAAGATCCACAGGAGCATCGCACACATCTTCCAGGGCGAGCTGGTGGCCAGCTTTGATGAGGAATTCCGCATTTTGTTTGCGCAGTCGGAACCTCTCGTTCCTCCAGCCAATGTCCTGGCAAAGGCAGAGAATGCCTTCGCCATGGCTCCCTTTGGCAATAACATGCCTTTCTTCCCCAAAAAAGGCCCCCTGATGTTCCAGAGGGATGACAGCCTCTTCCCCTCCTTCATGGACAGAGTGGATCCGGACAGGTACTTCCTCTCCAATTTCCGGCGGGACGACATGCTGCGGCACACCGTGGAGGGCTCAGCCATGCGGATGTACAAAAAGGTGGAAATGGAGAATTCCCAGATGGATCCGGTCAGGGGCTTCCTCCGTTCCAAGCAGCTAGAGCTGGACGCCTTTAAGAGACACAGTTTTGCAGAGGGAACATTTGAAAATTTTGCCTCTTCCAAGCAGTACGCCCGGCAGATGTTCATGAACAACATGGATGAGTTCAAAATCCAATCCAGTCATTTCCAGAAGGACCAGTTCTACCAGTACCAGTTTGAACATCCCCATCTCTCTGGCAGACCTCAGGGATTCTTTGACAGGATTCGAGGGGGAAGGCCGGGATTCAATGAACTGGAAGACTATGGAGAGGGACCCCGATACCCTGAACTGGAACCCAGTTTCTCACAGGAGGGTTTCCCCTTACGGCTGGATTACGTACCCTCCAATTCTTCCAGGGAGGTGAGACACGGCTCCGACCAGCTGAACCCTGCAGGGAATGGCCCGATGGGAATGATGTTACGGAGGCAGAATATAGGACAGAAATTCATTTGCCAGACTTCTCCCACGCAGAAGCAGAGCCTGGAGCAGCGCCTGTTCCTCCAGGACAAGGACGAGGACCAGGACGATGACAAGAACACCCAGGAAAACAGGACAGGGTTACGGAACTGGAGGATATCCTCGTACCTCAGCGCATACCAGTCTGAGCCGGACGAAGGGCTCCCGATGCCGATGGAGTCCGAGGCGTATAACGATGCTCTGGGGGATCCCCTCACAAAGCACCCCACTGACCTCATCCCAGCCTTCAAATCCCCCACATCCTTCAATAGCAAGGCACTGGGAATTGACAGTGCCAAGGAATTTGCGGATCCCGATAGAGCAGGTGAAGAAACCTCGATAATGAAACCAGATGCCTTCAGGTCCAGGATAAATCCCTTGATCCAGAGGAGTTCCAGGCTCAGGTCCTCTCTGATTTTCAGCGCTGCCAAATTAGATCAGCCCAACACCACAGTAGAAAAGGTGCAGATGATCCAAAAAGAGCAGATGTCCAGCGAGGTGACGAAGGACAATGAAACCATCAAGACAGCCACCTCCTCCAAAGTGGCCGAGCTGCTGGAGAAGTACAAAGCCGTGGGCAAGGACACGGAGCGGGGCACAGTCACCCACACCAAAGCTGTTTCAGGTTACCTACAGGAGGAATCCCAGAACACGGAGAAGAAATGTACCAAATCCGTGCAATATAAGATTCTGGAGAGCAGGGTGCTGGACTCCAAAGACTCCTGCAGTACTTACAAAATGCACGGAGAGCTGGACAGAGCATTCGGAATGGCCTCATCCACCCCCCAGCTTGGGGATGCACTGAGTAAGGATCCCCTGGCACATCTTGGCACTAAGGTGGACAAGCTGTCATCTCGGTTTTACCCCATTGAGAACAAACCTGCTCTTCCAGAGAAGGAGAGTCTGATATATGTAGGAGACACTCAGAAATTGGCTCTTCCAGAGAAGAAGGACAGGGTGACCTTCAGAGAAGACGCTCCAAAGTTAGTCAACACAGAAATGAAGAAACCACAAGTTAGGACAAGTACCACATCCTTAGCTCTGGAAAGCCTGTCTAGGAGCCCAGGGTCTGACAGCTCTCTCAATAAATCTGAGGAAGACTGTTCAAAACAAGAGCAAAATCCCATGGAATTTTTAAGAAAAGGGTCACTACGACTGAAGCAGCTTTTAAACCCAAAAGGTGAAAAGAAATTTGAGGAGGAACCTGCTTCTGAGAGTGGGAAATGTGACAAGCAGGCAGTGGTGCTCAAACGATCGTCCATAGGGGACTGCCAGGAAGCAATGGAAGAAGAAAAATCCCACAAATTCACAGCACCACTCCCCCCCAAGAGCAGCCAGACGACGCAGGGGAGGTTCCCTTCCTCCACAGCCAACATCCTGTACAGCAGCAACCTGCGCGACGACACCAAGGTGATCCTGGAGCAGATCTCTGCCAACAGCCAGAAGAACAGAGCCGAGCTGGCCAAGCAGCTGCCATCCACCAGCAACCCTGACCTCTCCAGGTCAACCATGAGCTTGGAAAGAAAAGGGGAGAAGGAGAAAAGCTGCAACATCCACAGGTCGGAGAGCTTTGGGAGCCAGAAACGGAACTTCCAGCGGCAGCCGTCGGAGGACAGAGACACCCTCCTGAAGAAAATGGAGAACATGAGGAAGGAGAAGAGAGTCTACAGCAGGTTCGAGGTGTTCTGCAAGAAGGACGAACACACGAGTCCCAGTGAAGAGGAATATGACACAGATGCCAAAGACAAGAAGATGGGAAAATTCATGCCCAAAATCCTGGGGACCTTCAAGACCAAAAAATGATCGTAAAAATCCTATTTAATTCCATTTAATCACTGACTGTCATGGGGGAAGGAGGAAGAAACTTGTTTATGATGGCTACAAACCCCACAGGCAATGCTCTTCTGGGTAAGTGAGCAGAAACATGTCCAGCATGAGCCTCCACGGCACAGTTTGCTCCATAAAGTCAGGTGGTATCAAACAACTTTATTACACTATGTTCCAAATAAAATTATTGAACTGCCAACATGCTTAAAACACAGAAGTCTCTGTTCTGTTACTGTACAAAACTGAAAGTCTCTGTTACACCCAAGGAATATTTTTCAGCTGACAAAACAATTCTACTTTTGGAAGAAAAGAATAAAAAATAGAAAATTCAATACTTGAGTTCAGGCCAGGAAAGATAAATACACACAGAGACACATACATTAACTGGAAAAAGTGTTTAAAGCCTGTTGTTTCTCAGGTACATTTATCCTTTCTCTGTAGCTCACAATGAATCAGTCACAGGAGGCATCTTTTTGAAGGTTTACAGACCAAAAAAATATTGTAACAACTTTTTGCCCTAATCTGTGACTCCGGTCTTGTCCAGCAGCACAGGCCCAGCTTTTGTATTTACCAGTTCCTGAGCCTGTGGGATCTGCTTTGCTTGGGGTTTGTTCTCCTGTGTGTAGGGAATTATTTGCTTTAAGGACTCAGCTAAAGGAGCAGCTGAAAAGGCCATAAAAAGGACATTGAAGGGCTATTGATGGAGATGGGCCTGGTTTTAGGAGGCCTTTTCAGCTTGAGGAAACAGCCTCAAGTTGTGCCAGGGGAGGTTTAGGTTGGATATTTGGAAAATTCCTTCCAAAACCCTGGAAAGGATTGTCCAGTCCTGACACAGGCTGCCCACGGCACTGGTGGAGTCCTTGAAACTTGAGCTTTTCCTGGGATGCCAGCTCCCAGGGCAGCAGGCTGGACTTACACTTTTATAACAGTTAATGATTATTTTACTGTTTGCTGAAAACCTTGGGAACTGGATGTGCAGAACAACTGTCTGATCTGAAAAAAAAATTAGGGCTGATTTCCATTTTAATACAAATGGTGGTAAAAATCTGCAGGAATCAAGAGCAGCTTTGTTGTAACATGAGGAGGTACACTGAGCAACAAAATTAAGAGGACAAAAGAGGAAATAAAAGGATGGGAAAAGGGGCCAAAATTGGGAAAAAAGTAGAAATGGATTTCTTATACCCATTTCATATTATCACAAAATCACAGGATGGTTTGTGTGGGAAGGGACCTTAAAGCCCATCTGGCCCCACCCCCACACCTCCCACTATTCCAGGTTGCTCCAAGCCCCGTCCAACCTGGCCTTGGACACTTCCAGGGGTGGGGCAGCCACAGCTTCTCTGGGAAACCTGTGCCAGGAACTCAGCACCCTCACAGGGAAGAATTTCTTCACAATATCTTGTCTAAATATCTCCTCTTTTAGTTTAAAACTCAACACTGTGACCCATCTGAGATACAGCCCAGGATCTTTTATACGTCCACAGCCATAAATGAGTTTTGTCTGCTCTGATTAATCAATCAGATTGAGTTATTGATGGGTCCCAAAATGAACTGCAGTGGCCAACAGTTGTTCTCTGTCAGCCAATACAGATTATTTTACTCTAGAGAGGTACGTGCATATATATTCTAGCTCTGCTTGTGCAATTCTTACATCATTCCACACCTCCCCAGCCCTTCCCAAACCCACCTGCTCCAGCCTCATTCTGTAACAGACAAATCTGGAATTTATTTCTGCAGTGACAGGTGACATTAGCAATTTAGAATTTTGCTGTATTTATTTAGATGTTTAGGATTTTCTCTTGCTCAGGTGGAACATGTGCTTGTGCCCAGAGCCCGAGTGACACAGCTCTGCTGGTGACAGGTAAGTGACCAGTTGCTGCAGGTGGCACAACCAACTGTTGCAGAAGAACCAATTCCCTTGGCAGCAACTAAAGCCATTGTAAGAAGAACCTGTTGGTGTCCCAGCCCAGCTCCTCTCAGTCTGGGATGGGGGTCCCAGAGGACCTTGGCTGTCGTGCTGTGAGGGGCCAGGATCCAGGGGAGGTCACAGCCGGAATTGGGGGCCCTTCTCTCTCCAATGCCCCACAACCAGCATTTGGACTCTCAGGAGCCAACCCACTGCTCAGAGCTCTGCCCACACCACAGGCTCCCCTGGCACTGCCACTCCTACATCTCCCTGTGCCTCAGACAGGCAGGAAACATCTGTACTATGAATATACCACAATTAGCCTGGACTTCCCTGGGAGCTGCACTCCTGGCTCCCTCCTGTTACCAGTCTCCAGTGACCACCCCTGCAACCAAGGGGAAGGCATTCATTTTTAATTAAGTAGCCTTGGGTGTTTAGGCACTAGAAGATAAAATGGCAGCTCAGCCAATGGCAGTGGTACTCACATGCTGGAATTCAGCACCTGAATCCCCTTGGTAACTGTAGTTCCAATGTTCTGGAATAACAATCATTTATCACAGGAGGAGTAAAACTTCAGGGACACAGACAACAACTTCAAGTTAATGAGAATGTATCCAAAATCCGCATTAAAACAGGAATATAAAGTTTCCTGTGGTCCCACTGTAGCCTGGTAACACCTTCACGATGTCTCAGCAATAGTATCTCATGGAACTCTGCTTTCTTAAAGCAAAAACAAAACAAAAAAAGACCAATTATTCATTGAAGACAGCCTTACCAACAGGTACTTTCCCTCTCAACACAGTGAATGCTGACTGAAAGACAAAGATTTTTTGCGGTGCAATATAAACTATTTATTAGTGCAATATTTACAATATATCATGGTAGGGAAGCTGTTAGATATTGTAGCAGAGCCCACCTGTATTTCAAATGCTTTCCTACTTGATTTTATCAAAAATAAACCACAATGGTTTTGTTTATTTACCCCGGAAGAGTCACACAAATGAGTGGAAATGAGAATGAAGGGCTGTAGGATCTGTGAAGAGCTCGATCTCCACGGTCTGCAGAGAACAGTTACCTGCTCTGTTCAGAAACAATCCACATTTGGGTAGACTGCTGAAGAACCCTGGAATGGCTTGGAAGGGACCTTTTAAAGGTCATCCAGTCCCACTCCCCTGCATTAGGCAGGGACACCTTCCAGTAGACCAAGTTCCCCCAAGCCCCTTTCAACCTGGCCTTGGACACTCCCAGGGATGGGGCAGCCACAGCTTCTCTGGGCAACCTGTGCCAGGGCCTCACCATCCTCACATGGAGGAATATCTTCCCAGGATCCCATCTAACCCTGCCCTTGGCCTTGCTGAAATTCAGGAGGTTCCCCTGGCCCCTGAATATGTCTGAAACCACTCAAGTATTAGAATATTGCAGTTTTCTGTAATTTTTTTGTGACAATTCAAACAAGAAGCATGAACTGACAGTGTTCCCTGTTCTCACAAGTGTGGGAGCAAACATGCTGTGCCCTTTTCTGGTGAGACTGGAAGGCAGGTGGGTTGGATTCCCTTTCCTGTTGGCTTGTCCAGAGGAAAGGAGGATATTGTCCCATGCTGTGACTAAAGCATTTCCTCAGATTTTGCTCTCCCTTGTTGTCCCTGCTCAGTCAGGGGCTGAGGGATGAGCTGTACTTCACCTGGCTGGAACATCTCCTCATTCACTGCTCGGGGTTTTGGGAGGCCTTTGTTATGGGAAGACTCTGCAGGGCAGATTTACTGATGGTTCCATAGGCCTGGGAGTAGCTGCCCATCGATGCTCTTGGATCACCCGCAGCTCCCACATTTGCAGTGATCTGGAACATCTTTTTACTGGGCTTCAGAAGGGGACGAGCATCTTTGCTGTGACTCTGAGAGTTTCTGGGATTCTATGTGAGAAAGAAAAGCCAAGATAAGTTAATAACCTGGAATCAGCTGTCTGGAACACAAATAGGACACAGGTTTGGCTTTGGGCAACATCACCCTCTCAGCAAACAAACACAAAGCTCAGAGCACATGTTGGCTGATCTTCTCCCTGTTCTGCTCTTTCTGTCACAGAAAGTTGGTCACAATTCCCTGAAGATTTTTCCAAATTCATTGGTCATGTGTACACATGCATGCACATCAAGCTCCACAATCCAATTTTGGGGATTGGCTCCTCTCACTCCCCAAACCTCTCCATTTTGGACAGGATGCCAAAGCAGAGGGGCTGAAAGGTGAGTTGCAAGTGGGCTCCTGGACATGCTTGGAGTTTCTGGCAATCAGGGCTAATGAAAGGTGTCCCTGCCCATGGCAGAGGGGTGGAATGACACGAGTTTTAAGGTCCCTGCCAACCCAACCCAGTCTGTGATTCTGTGATACTGTGAATCTGTGGTGCCTCCTTCCATACTCTTCCTCTGCCAATAAGCTTCCTCTGATCACTTGTGCAAGTGCCACAAGTCACCAGGCAACAGCCAGTCAGCTCAGGAACAGAAAATGCAGGAGCAAGAAGTAATTAAAGAACCCAGCAAGGATAAGGACTTTTACAAGGAAGCATGGCCAAGAACAAGGAAGAGGGAGGAGCAGAGAGGACAGGACTGACACCTTGCTCAGCAACAGCAATCCACTAGAATCATGGAATCATCAAGTCACAGAATCGTTTGGGTTGGAAAAGCCCTCTGAGCCCAAGTCCAGCTGCTCCCCAAGCACTGCCAAAGCCCCAACTAACCCACGTCCCCAGGTGCAACACCCACATGGCTGTTAAACCCCTCCAGAGATGGGAACTCCACCACTGCCCTGGGCAACCTGTGCCAGGCCTGGACAGCCCTTTCCATGAAGGAATTTTCCCAATATCCAACCTGAACCTCCCCAGCACAACTTGAAGCCATTTCCTCTTGTCCTGTCCCTTGTTCCCTGTGAGCAGAGCCTGACCCCCCCCCGGCTCCTCCCTCCTGTCAGGGGGTTGGAGAGAGTGAGAAGGTCCCTCCCTGAGCCTCCTTTTCTCCAGGTTGAGCCCTCCCCGCTCCCTCAGCTGCTCCTGGTGCTCCAGCCCCTTCCCAGCTCCCCTCTCTTCCACTGAGGAGCGTGAAAGACACACTCCTCAATGTCTTTCTTGTCGTGAGGAGACCAAAACTGTCCCCAGGACTGGAGGTGCCTCAGCAGCACCCAGCACAGGGGACAGGCTCTGCCCTGGGCCTGTGGTCACACTGTGCCTGCTACAAGCCAGGAGCCACTGGCCTCTTACCCACCTGGGCACACCCGGGCTCCTGTTCAGCCCCCGTCACCAGCGCCCCCAGGAACTTCTCCAGCTTTCCAGCCACTCTGCCCTAAGCCTGGAGCACTGCAGGGAACTGTTGTGACCCAAGTTACCACAAGTAAGGGTTAGAAGTTAAGCTACTCACATTGTAAAGGTTCTGCACACCTGTAGGAGGGAGCCCAGTGTTTGTCCATGAGTTTTGTCTCCCCAGTTTCCCATCGTTGGAGATTCTGGGCTGTTGAGGTGGTGCAGAAAAGTTCCTGATCCCAGCACCAGGATTTGCATTTCCTGCAGAAGGAAAAACATGAGAGAAAGTAAGAAAATCGTGAGGACACAGAACACCCTGACTGAGGCAGGAACAGTCACACATCCAACACTCATTCAACAGTGTTTTGTTCTTATGTCATTTTCCTCCCACACTTTCACCCCCTCTTTTTACCATGCAAATTCCCCTCACTTCTTTTACAGGATTCAGTCTCTCTTCCCCACAACAATGCCCCGTGGTGTGTCACACCCTGGTGCAGGAGGGTGGTACCTACTCTGCACAGTGGTGTGTGTGATGGGGTTGTACATCATCACGCTCATCTGTGATCTCTGACACACAGTTCTGGCCAAATCCTTGCTCTGGCTGGGTCCTGTTGGCTGGACTCCAGCTGTGGCTCCAGCATGCACGTGGGAAGGGTTTAGGAGAGGAGGTGCTGGTTCTTGCTGGACTTTTCTGGTGGGTACAGTCACTGAGCTGAAATCTGGGAGAAGTGGGCTGGGTTCAGACTGGCTCAGCTGAGTGTTTTCTCTCCGCCCTCGCTCCTTTAGACGGCTCCTTGATTTTTTTTCAAGGATCAACTGCAGAACAGAAAAGCTGGCTAGACTTAATGCAGCAATACAGCAGAGGAACAAAACATCAAAACAAAGAGGAATACTTGTAAACATCTGGAATTTATTTCACAGTAACAAGTATAATTTTGGAACTAGATGATCTTTAAGCTCCCTTCCAACCCAAACCATTCTGTGATTCTGTGATTCTATGGCTGTTGGATCCAGGATAGTATATTTCCCTCTAACCCAGTCTTTCTCAGACATCGTGCTTCAGAGACTTTTCCTTTCCCAGAGGGAATTTAGATTTAAAGGTCTCTCAGAGACTCTGACAGTATGGAACTGACCAACCAAACACTGAGGTGTAACTGTGTCAGCAGGTATGGACAGCCCAGGGAAATACAAAGACAAGACAACAGAATTTGTTAAGTGTGTGCAGGAATGGAAGGTTACCTGGAGGATCAGGATTTGGGAAAACAGGATGGAAGTACCTCATATAATTTATTTCGATATTCTGCCACAGACAGCTGGACATCATCACCCAAAGGAAGGACCACATTATAATCCAAAGAGGGCTCCCTGGAAGGACAGTGGAATCTAAAGAGATGAGAACACATCACATAATTCACTGACTGAAAGCAGCACCACAGACTAACACTATTTAAACAGGATTGTTAAACAATCTCATGTAAATAGGGTTGGAGAAAATGAAGAATTAGCTTTGGGGTTTTTTTCTATAATGCATTTAAAAAAGACTTGTGCCAGGAACAGGTTTGTAATGTCTCAGAAGACATCAGGGGAAGCTGCACACTGGTGTCACTCTCACCTGTTCACATAAGGATGCTGCAGAGCCTCCTCTGCCGTGAGCCGTTTGTCAGGGTTAAAGACCAGAAGTTTCTTCAGCAGATCCAAGGCAGGCAGTGGAGTAGAGGATGGGAAAATCTCCTCAAATGTTACTCGCTGCCTAGAAGACAGAAAACAATAATATGAGTTCCCAGAGTCCAATTCCCAGTGAAGGCAGGAATGACAGTTCCGGGGATCACGCCAAGGTGACATCTGACCCCAGAGTTCCCTCACAAAGATAATCACTGAATCCTGGAATGGGTTGGGTGGGAAGGGACCTTGAAGCTCATCTCTTGGTAGCCCCACGATCCCACAAATTCAGACCTGAGACCACAGAAACACATTTCTGTGTAATTTGCAATGAGAAGATGAAGTTCGATAATCTGGTTTTGCATTTTGAAACCCTAAATATAATTGTGAACATAATCAACAAGAGAATATCTTATACATTTGAAATATCAGTTTTAAAACCCAAATCTTACTTATATTTTAAATAATTTCTATTTAAGAAGAGACCTTAGAGTCCCTTCCACTGCCTAAAGGAGCTCCAAGAGAGCAACTTTGGACAAGGGCTGGGAGTGACAGGACAAAAGGAGGGGCTTCCCACTGGAAAAGTGGGGATTAAAATGGGATATTGGGAAGAAATCCTTGCCTGTGAGGATAAGGAGTGACTGGAATGGATTTCCTGGAGAAATGGTGGCTCCCCCACCCCTGGAAGTGTTCCAGGCCAGGTTGGACAGGGCTTAGAGCAACCTGGGATACTGGAAGGTCCCTGCCCATGGCAAGGGGTGGGACTGGATGGTCTTGACGGTCACTTCCCACCCAAACCATTCTGGGATTCCACGATTCCATGGTCATACAGTGGGTGATCTGAGACACACACACACCCCAGGCTTACCGGGAACTCATGTGGTTAATAACTGAGGCCTTGTACTCTGACTGCAGAGCCAAAATATCTGCAAGAATAAAAAGGTACTGTTAATGCCAAGATGAGGATTACCTCAGAGAACTACACAGTTTAGGAAGGAAAGCAAATATTATTTGATGTTAGCTTAGAAAATTACTCTCATAAAACATGATGGGAAATCTGTGGAAGGAGAATGGAATATTTACTTACAAATTTTCTAAGACTATTTCTAAATTTGTATTTATTAATCATAGACTTCATAAATCTGCACTCTCACACCCACAGAGGCAGAGGCACCAAGATATCTGAATTTCTTATTTTCCTCTAACACTAACATTCACAATTAAGTCTCTAATTTCCTTGGAAAGGTGCCAGAATGACCCACAAGAGATACCTTCTCCTCTTATCCATCTGGGCTGCTTTCTTCCCCTCTTTAATCCCTTCTCTAAATCCCTCTCCCTGCAGCAGAGTCCTACCTTCTGGGGACGGAGCAGGGATGACCCTTAGGATCTGCTCTATTTGATTCATTGTTGATGTTCCAGGGAAAAGAGGCTTCCCAAGCAGCATCTCTCCCAGAATACAGCCAATGCTCCACATGTCTACACCTTTAGTGTAACTACAAACAGGAATAGAACAGAGTTAGGATTAAATCAAGCAAGTATTTTCCTGTACCTGCTATTCACATCACCTACACTGATGTATTTTGCTAGAAAACCTGCTTGGTGACTTCTCACATACAAATGCTCACGTTTGAACTATACATTGAATGACATTTGGGAATCATGAGACTGGCAAGCATGAAACAGAAAGGAGATTTAGCCTACTCAAAGGCTAGTCTAGGAAACCATAAAAGGAAATATATGAGAGAAATGCTAGAACAAGGCAATATATAAAAGGTAATGCCAGAAAAAGGTAATATATCCTTTTCATATGACCAAGAATGAAGATACATGTTGATCTTTGGAAACAACTGACTTTTCAAGGCATAATGTATGTATAAAGTAGTAAAATTTACATTTTTAAGCAAAGTAAATACCAGACAATGGGTATAGGACAGTTTGCAAAACATCCACATCTAAATTCGGGTTACTACCTCAGCCTCTATTTATTTACTTTCCTGATTTTTCATCTTTAAGTCAAAAAAAGGACTAAGCCTGACTAACAGGCAGCTGGTTTAATGTTTGATTACAGAGTATTTCCTGGAGATCTATCAAAAACCATCTCCTTCAATTTTGAAAAGAGGACTTATGTTCTCAAGCAAATTTTGTAAAGATGTGGGTTTAAAGGGAGAAAGAATAAGTCTAGTGGGAGAAAGGGTGACAAACAGCTGAGCCACTCACGTATGTGTATGAACACTAAGAACACAGAAAGGACGTGCACATGTTAACAAGAGTTTTTATGATGCAGAACTGAAGTTTAAATGTATATTGAGACAACAGACTGACACAACATTGCATCCAGTGACATCCAAAACTGACCCATTTAAGACTTTCAGACCATCAGTTTTCCCAGTGGTGAGGAAGTTGCAGACCCCCCTCCCTTGGCTCACCTGCGAGAGGCCAGCAGGATCTCGGGGGCGCGGTACCAGCGCGTGGCCACGTACTCGGTCAGGGCAGGGCTGGGCTGCTCCTCGCCCCGCTGGCACAGGGAACGGGCCAGCCCAAAGTCACACAGCTTCACACAGCACTCTGCATCCAGCAGGACATTGGAGGGCTGCATTGAACACAGGAGAATTCATTGGCTTTTATCAAGGTTCTTTTATTAGTCTCATGCTTGCATCCTTTTTCATACTTTTTCTATGGAGCCAGGCTGGGAGAGCTGGGGGCGTTCAGGCTGGAGAAGAAGAGGCTCTTGGAAGACCTCAGAGCTCCTTCCAGTGCCTAAAGGGGCTCCAGGAGAGCTGGAGAGGGATTTCGGACATGAGCCTGGAGGGACAGGAAAAGGGGGAATGGCTTCCCATGGACAGAGGGCAGGGTTAGATGGGATACTGGGGAGATATTCCTCCATGTGAGGGTGGTGAGGCCCTGGCACAGGTTGCCCAGAGAAGCTGTGGCTGCCCCATCCCTGGAAGTGTCCAAGGCCAGGTTGCATGGGGCTTAAAGTGACCTGGGCTAGTGGAAGGTGTCCCTGCCCATGGCAGGGGAGTGGGACTGGATGCACTTTGAAAGGTCCCTTCCATCCCAAATCAGTCTGTGATTTTATTTAGTGTTTGACAGAAACTTGGAGTGAAGGATACAGACAATGACTGAAATGCACCTTCTGATCCCTGTGAATGACATTCCCCGAGTGGATGTATTTAGTTGCCTTCAGGAGCTGGTAGAGAATGTAACACTTGTGGATGTCTTTCAGCAAATTCCCCTTCTTAATAACAGCATGTAAATCTGTCTCTGTAATATATTACAGCAGTAATATATTTACATCAGTAAATATCAGTAGTATCACGATTGTTCATGTAAATCACCAGCATGCCACTATCAAAGTGGGAATAAAGATAACTCTGAAGAGAGGCTGGATTTGAGTGGCTGCTGCAATGCTGAGTCTCACCCATGGACTCGAAGATGAGGTAGATATCCTTGTCATTCTCAGCTTGGATAACATCGAGCAGCTTGATGATATTTGGATGTTCTCCAAATTCCTGTGCAGGGAAGAGACCCAGCTGTCAAAATCACATGTTTTGCTAGTGAATCATAAAAAGGGACAACAACCTATTTCAGTTTGTATTGTCTAGAACAAACATTAACATGCTGTTTCCTCGATTAGGTTTCTTCTGAAATAAACTTTAAAAAAGAATTTAAGCTTGTTCCATAGTATGAAACCAGCCAGTTAATCTGAAAAATAATCTCTGTTGGCTAAAACATTGGTTCTAAAACTCCCTCTATACCACTTAAACAAATTCTGGTCCCCTTTATGCACCTCTCATTTCCTACTGAATCAAAGAATTATTGTGGCATGAAAACAGATCATAGTGTCCATCAACATTCATAGTTAAAAACCCAAACAGCCACAACGTGCCCAGCTGGGGGCTGGCTGGGACATTCCCAGGCTGTATTGAGATCAGACAGTTCAGATACCTGAACACAGTGTCTCACACTGGAGGTGGAGTTCATGCTCACATTTGCAGACTGGCAATCCTGATGGGATCATTCAATTAATCCCCAGCTTTAACAGCTTTTATTTCCCAGAACCAACACTTCTGTCCAACCAGAGACACTGCAAACACTTCATAACACAGCAGTGTTTTCATGAACTACTGTGAGAACAAAATTATAAACTGCTGCACCATAAAACCTGTGCTTGTATCTAAAATACATAAATAATTTATTTGAACCAACATTATAGACTCTTTACCTATTTCCATCACAAATTCAGTTATAAACAGTATCAAAAATCCTAATAATAAGCTCTCCCCAGCTTACAACAGGATCATCTTCCTACACTCTGAGGCCAAAACAAAACTTGGTTATAACGTGTGACATCTAGAAAGTCCACAAGCCAACACATTCATGTGCAGCAACCTGTGAAAACACACTCACTAAGCAGGGATACACAGCCAGACATCACACATCTCGTGTTCATTCTCAGGACAAGACACAAAGCCCATCCAAATGATCTAAAGCAGGTTTTTACCCAAAAGAAGATATTGTTCTAGAAATGCAGATCGGTTTTGACAGTGTTACTTGAGTCCAATTTAAGAAGAAAAACACCACTGTCTCACACTGCCTTGCCCTAGAACTGATAAGGGAAAGTCATGAAAAAATTTCAATCTGTACTAAAAAAACATGTTACCTTGAAAAAAACCTCCTCAGGGCCAGCCCTGCTAATCTTTGCTTACAGTGCTGTCACTAAAGTACTTACCAAAAATGACATTCTAAAATTGGCCTAAAATACACCAGTAGATCTGCAATTCCACTTAACAGCAAACACAAAACCTGCAAGCAATGACCAGCACACTGCAGAGCACCAGAGAATCATCCAAATCCCACATTCTACAGCAACTTCTCAACTACAGTAACTGAGATACATAATATAAAACAATAATCCAGTTCATCAAATGCCCTTGTGATTAACATAGAGATTAAATGAAGTAATTATTATGCATAGACAAACAAACTAAGACAAATATGCAGTTACAAAAACCAGAATATTTCTTAAATCTTTTCCTTTCTGATCCCTCAGAAAGATGTATAAAATAGGAGAGGAAACTAAAATTCTTTAGTCTGTTGAGCACCAAAAGTCATGGAAGTACAGGCTGAACAGCACATTAACTTCCCTCCCCAGCTCCCTGCTGCCAAATGACTCTGTCCTTCCTTCAGGAGAAATATCCTTCTTTTCCCTGCTCCTCCTCCACCCATCTGCTCCAGAAGTGCTGCACTTTCAGAGATGATCTAACTTACAGGTAATTCACTTCTAAGGAATTGTTTATATTTTTAGCTTTTAAGTTTGCAGCTTCTATTTCAGGCTTCAAGAACGACTAAAAAGTAAAAAACCCTCATCTCTTTACTACTTAAAGTTGGCAGTCTTAGGAAATACCTATTCCATGAGCCCTTTCTCACTTGTGTCCTTAGAAATAACAACATTATTTCAAAATATTGATGTTTCTACGTGGTTAGTCTGAGGAGGAGTGGACAAATAATCATAATGCCACTGATAAGGTCAATTATATCACAACAAGAGCAGCTTTAAGTTACTCCTTGCAGATCTTCCCTTTTTGTCTTGCTTTGATTATTTTAAGTGATCAAATTGCTTCCCACGGGATGGGGAAAAGCAAATTTGGCATCCCCCACCCCAGGCCCCCTCTGATCATGACAGTTAAAATGGAAGAGAAACAGTTTACATCCATAAAGAAGCAAGAAGTGACAGAAAGTGAAAGTCTACCTGTTGATGCTGCAGGAGACACATTGCTAAAAATGTGGAAAGAGCAGGAAAGAGTAAAAACAAGCACAAATGGAGAGTGTTTCATTCAGGTGGGTTTGCCCTGAAAGGCTCTTTGCCAAGATGGTGCAGAAAAGAAATTAAAGAGTTGTCAACACTAAACATTGATCACTGCATTTTGGAAAACAACGGGAAGAAAATATGTGGACATCAGAGATAATAAAAAATCAGAGTGGAGGAGGAACATGGACATTACCTGCAGGAACATAATCTCTCGAAATGTTCTCTGGAAATAAAGAAAAAGTAGTTTATTATCACCTCAAGAGAATGGCAGGGGATGCACTTCAATGAGAGGGTTAAATCCACTCCTCTTCTGTAGATGCCATGATACACAAAGCCTGACATTTATTGTTCCTTTTTATCCCAATATAGTTGCAGACTGTATTATTACATGCATAATTATCATGTTTCAGAGACAAAACTCTTGAAAATACCTATGGAATCCCCCCACATCTCACAACACACCAGGACAATGATTTCTCACCTGAGCATCCGTCCTGTTCCTGAAAGCATCAAAAATCTTTTTAACAGCGACTATTTCTCCTGTCCTGCGGTCGATTGCTTTCCAGACGATGCCGTAGGCCTGGGGAGAGACACAGACAGGTGAGCAGTGTGCTGACACCCTGCCCCAGCTCAGGCCTGCAGCGGAGCCAGAATGGACTCAACAAAGGACTGGAAGAGAGCTGATCACTGGCTACCTGGAAGAGAGAGAGAGATCAGGCCCCTCTGCTCTGGAGCCAGGCTGGGAGAGCTGGGACCTTCCAGCCTGGAGAAAAGAAGGCTCCAGGGAGACCTTAGAGCCCTCCCAGTGCCTAAAGGGGCTCCAGGAGAGCTGGACGGGGACTTTGGACAAGGGATGGAGGGACAGGACAAGGGGGAAGGGATTCCTACTAGAAAAGCAGGGATATACATGGGATATTGGGAAGAAACCTTTGCCTCTGAGTGTAGTGAGAGACTGGAATGGATTTCCTGGAGAAACTAGCTGCCCCATCCCTGGAAGTGTCCAAGGCCAGGATGCATGGGGCTCTGAGCAAACTGCTCTAGTGAAAGGTGTTCTTGCCTATGGCAAGGGGGTAAAATGAGATGATCTTTAAGGTTACTTCCCACCCAAACCATTCTGTGGTTCCATGATTCTGTGGATGGAGACCGGCCCTGAGGAGAAGGACTTGGGAGTGCCGGTGGATGAAAAACTGGATGTGAGCTGACAACATGCACTAGCAGCCCAGAGAGTCAATCATGTCCTGGGCTGCATCAAAAGAAGGACAACGAGGGGATCAGGCCCAGCCAGCCTGGGGTTGTAACAGGCAGGTACTGCCTGACTAACCTGATCTCCCTCTGTGACAGGGTCACCCCCTCAGCGGCTGAGGGAAAGGCTGTGACCTGTGAAGTGAGAGGGTTACAGGAAATGCAGAAAGATTTGGCAGGCACAGAGAGAATGTACTTTGAGACTCGGATCCATTTTACCATTTACCCCCGAGCTCCCACGCCCCTCCACCCGAGTTCCCCTGGGTCACTCGGAGCTCCCACGGAGCCCTGAGCTCCAGACAGGGTCCCCGAGCTCCCACAGGCGCCTGAACTCGCCTGGGGCCCCTCAGCTCCCCGGGCCACCTGGAGCTCACACAGGGCCCTGAACTCCACACGGGCCCAACGAGTTCCCACGGGCCCGACGAGCTCCCACGGGCCCCCGGGCACTCACCCCCTTGCCCAGGCGCCTCTTGATCTCGTACTTCTGGCACACGAGCGGCTCCACCTCGGGCGGGCTCATGGCGGCGCCTCCCTGTTGGCTCCCGCTGCCATGGAAACGGCCCCGCGCCCCGCGCACGCGCAGCGGCACCGCGGGCGGCCGCCAGGCGGCGCCATGACCCGGCACGGAGGCGGAACGGGGGAGGAGGGGGGGACATGGCGTCCCACTGGGGCGTGTGGGAGAGACAAAGGGCGGAGCGGGGGGGACATGGCGTCCCACTGAGGCTTGTGGGAATGAGAAGGGGGGAGTGGGGGGACATGGCGTCCCACTGAAACGTGTGGGAGAGAGAAAGGGGGAGCGGGGGGG